AAAAAAAATCCATTTCAGCCTTGGCTAAAACTTTTGAGCTTCACTGGGCCAAATAAAAGAGGAGGATTATAATGACTTGCTAGCCAAAGCTGTAACGCTCAAAATGTCAAGAACTGGAAACAGAATGTACAAGTATCTGTATCACACAAACCATCAATATTCATACAGTATACGTACAGAAATTCCCATTTTTGAAAAAAAGGCTTCTTATCCACATGAGTTTTTATTTAACAATATATGGTATTGATGTACTACCACAGTATGCATAATTTTTATGCAAGTAATAAAAAAAGGATGAACACCAAAATAGATGTGTGTGACATGTCCAACAGTTTCCATTAACCTTTTGGTTTAATCTCTTAATCCCCAAACCAATTTAGACAAAGACTAATTTCACACAACTATTTTTACTCAAATTTTGCTCTTAGGATTGTCATCTGACTACTCCACTTCCATTTTCCATAACAAAAATCAAGATCATAGGCTCCTTAGGCAAAAAGTTTTTTTTTTCTTTTGGCTCATAATTGTCTTGTAAAGTGCCATGGAGTAATTATTAGGGGTGTTACATATATTGTTTTAATATATCTCAAGTTCTGCTATTTCTGCCCAGGTCTGGGCTGTTAGCTTCATCATTCACCTGAGACCTTCAACCTTCCAGAACTTGCACCAGAGTGATCCATCAGAGGGCACAGTCTAACATATTTTTTCAACGGTGTCTACATTTCTTCAGCTTTAGCTCTACAAACCAGGAATCCTAAGACAATCTCACCTGCAAGAATTCACCTGCTGGCTGCTGACACTTTTCTTCCACCTCATTGATCAAAGCATCAATGCGATCAATCTCTTCTGAGAGTTTACTAGCATCTCCATCCCTCTTCTGGTCAATCTCCTTGTCAAATTCTTTCAGCATAATAATCAGAAATTGCTCGATTTTTTCAAGAAACTCATGTATTTGATTAAATACAGATTCTACCTTCTCCTTTTCTGTTTGTACATCATCCTGTGATAAGAAAAGGGGGACAGTCAGGATGGGGGAAAAAAAAACAATACAAGGAATGTAAAAAAGCCTTCACTCTCTCACAGCAGTCCTTTACATGGTGTTAGGCATTCTTCAAAGATGCCAAGCAAATATGAACTGTCTCCTGTGAGCTATGGAAATCAATTGCATATTTTAAAGACAGTCCAGCTTAATTAATTAATTTTTATTTATATATATATATATGGGAGAGAATATATATCCTGTTGGGGGAGATGGGCGGCATACAAATTTAATAAATAAATAAATTATATATATATATACACATATATACACACACACACACACACACACACACACACACACACACACATACTCTGTGTGTGTGTATACTGGTAGTCCTTGACTTAGGACAGCAATTAGGGCCAGAATTTCCATTGCTAAGCAATGCAGTCACAAAGTGCGACCGCATTGCTTAGAGATGGCAATCCGTGCAGTCCTGCTTGCCATCATTAATTGAATCCCATGGCCGTTGGACGAGGCAACATCCTGCCAGCTTCCTACAGCCAAAGTCAAGTCCCAGGCCCACAGGCAGGTAAGTGGCTGCTGCAGGGTGGAGGGGAGGGAGCAAGGGGGTGTGGGGGAGGGTTAGGGAGGATGCGCGAGAGGAATGGGGAGGCATGGGGAGTATGCGGGAGGATGTACAAGAGGCGCTGTGCAGGTTGGGGAAGGTTGAGGAGGGTGCGAGGGGGTGCGTGAAAGGTGCCACATGGGTCGGGGGGTTGCACAGGGTATGTGAGAGGCGACGCGCAGGTCAGGGACAGTGTGAAAGGGTATAAGGTGTGCAAGAGGTGCCATGAGGGTCAGGGAGGGTGTGAGGGGGTGTGCAAGAGGTGCAGGTTGGGGACAGTATGCGAGAGATGCTGCGAGGGTTGGGGAGGGTGCGCAAGAGGTGCTGCGCAGGTCAGGGAGGGTGCACGAATGGCCAGCATGGTTCAAGCTCAGAGGCGCTGGGAGAGGGTGTGCTGGGGGAGGAGACTTACCCCAATGACTTGCAACCTTCCCTGCCAGCTTCCCCATTGACTTCCAGCGGGGAACAACCTGCATTATGGTTTTGGGGCAATACTACTTGGCCCATAACTGTTCACTTCTTTATCCCATATCCTATTTTTCTCCAAAGAGCTAGATGTTGTTCAGGGGACACCCTACCCCACCTAATTTTATCCTTCCAACAGCCTTGTAGAGTAAGTACAATTATGGATACAAAACAAACAAATAAACCCACAAGTGTATAGATTCTCTGCACAATACATCTTTCCACTTCAATGGCAGAGGAAAGTGATATTGCTCTTTCCCAGGGAACAAGAATCTCCAACCTGATCAGCCTGGCTCCTGCCCTCCAAATCTTCTTTGAATTCTTTTAGTTTCTCTCTTCTTTCCTTCAGAGCTTTCATTTGGATGGCAACCTTTTCCTGAACAGAGGGAAAATATTTGTTTAGGATGTTCTTAGATATTTTTGTTAAGGTGGCTTTGTGTTTTGCATTTATGCAGCCTGCAATCCTAATTTCTGTATGATTTTTCAGTCCTTAACCATGCTGAGTTCAGTAACATTGACATTCATAAAAGTGTGCCCTGATCAGAGCTGAACATTTTCAACAGAATCATATAAAATTTTAATTAGCTCTTCTTTGGGAAATATTGATAACAGTATCATAACAGTATCTACATTACAAAGTAAACAGGCAATTGAGGTGTCAACCATTAACCAACTGGCATTTACTGTCACTGAGGACTCAGATTAAAAGACTTCAAGCAGCAGAAAAGGAAAATAAACTGCAAGAAAGAAAGAATCAGTACCACAAAAGCAATCTATATTCAATCTCTTGAAGTTTAGAAAGATCCTTAAAACATTGCTTTTCACAAAGGCCCTCTGTGAAGCCAGAAGAACCTTCTCTTTCATTATTCTCCAGAAATGTAAGTTAAAGCCGTGCTATTATTAGAAAATGTCTTATACTGATTATTATACTGTATTGTACTGACATTATTATATTGTTTTATTGCTGATACTGGCTTAAATATTGAATAATTTTCTATTTATCTCTACTGTACGTAGTTATAAGCTCACACTAAATAAAATTACTGTTACTGTGAAAGAAATTTCTAGCACTTTAAAGCAGATCCGTTTGCAATAAAATGCAACCTGATTAAAAGCCTTTGAATTGCAAACAATAAATTGCTTTCTCAGCTAGAAATTTCTTAGGACCTTTTAGCTGGGAGAAAACCCTTGAATATATGTGATAAATTTCTTAGCACCTTTTAACTTCAGAGCAACCAAAAATATTTAGAATTTAGATTATAAACAGGGCAAAAGAGGACCCTGTTTAATGTAATAGGAAATTCCAGGCTACTAAGGAGATCCGACAGCTGACAGACAAAACCCCTAGTATGCTCTTATTACAAAGAAGTTAGAGAAACTTCGGTGTAGTGTCTCATCATTTAAAATGTAGAAGTCGCACCTAATTTCTTATCTTCTAACTGCCTCTGTAACTGCATTCTAAACTGTACTGCATATATATATATCTTACAATTTAAGATGTTGGTAACCTATACACACACTCTTGAAATCTTTACTCTGGGCTCTTAGCTCCCGAGGCTTAGGGTCCAGTGACTTACTGTATCCATAAATATAACAAAACAATCAAGTTGTTTTAGTAATTTATTTGGGTGCTGTTTTTACCAAGTGCTGTCCTTCTGTTTTTTTGTGGGGTTTTTTGACACTGTTTATATGCCACCCTGAAGTGGAAGGTTTACAAGACGGAGGAAAAAGGGAAGCAAGAAAATGAAGCAAAAGTTGGGCACCAGAAGAAGTTAAAGTAACCAAAATTCCAGTGGCATGGAATATCTGTAATCTTGATTGTAAACCCCTTGTGTAATGGGCTGTGAGAATAACCTTGAGGAACAGGAAGAAGAGCTGCAACCAGGGCAATGGTCAGATAAGAGTCCAAAGCAGGAATGGAATTTGAGGAAGCACCTCAGACTTGACTTTCCCTCATCCTCTTGAATGTAAAGGCTGGCAAGATTCTGCCACTGCAACTTGTAATAAAAGGAGCATTAGCATTCACAACTTTGGTTTCCTGTCTGGACCACCTCAAACGGCTGATACCTTGGAGGAGATCCCCACCTATCTTGCAACAGGCATACCCACACAGGTCAAACCGGTTGCAGTCTTCGATAGGATCTCACTCCCCGTCTACTCACGGAAAGGGAGCAAAGGCTAAAGGCAGGTAGCATGCCTGGTGCATTTACCCACTAGGGCAGTGTTCTGCAACCCTGGCAACTTTTAAAATGGCTGGGGAATTGTGGGAGCTGAAGTCCACACATCTTAAAGTTGCCAAGGCTGCAACCGACTGCTCTAGGGACTCGGACCCTCTTTGCAGGGGGAGCCGGGAGGGGCCACCTGCTTGGAGGAAGAGCCGGGCTCCCCCAGCCGACGCCTCCCTTACCTTGTATTCCTGGGCCGCCTCGTCGATGGGGAGCACGGGGTGGGCTCTATGCACCCGGGACTCCCTGCAGACGACGCAGATGGGCGTCTCATCCTCCTCGCAGAACAGTTTCAGCGGCTCTTGGTGCTTTTGGCACAGCTCCAGGTTCAGCTGCGCGAGCAGCCAGAACCGCCTGAGCAATTCCGCGAGCAGTAGGACCCCCTCGCTGGGCTCGCGACTCCTCTTGCGGGACCAGCGGCGGCACTGGGGGCAGGCGGTGCGGCCCCAGCACTGGACGATGCACGACTGGCAGATGTGATGCTCGCAGTCGAAGGACGCCGGCTTCTTGAAACAGCGCAGGCAGACGGAGCAGCGGGCCGCCCTCTGCAGCGGCTCCAGGGAGCTCTTGGTAGCCATGACTGGAAGGGGCGAGGAGGCAGGGGCGGGGCGGGGCGCCGG